TGTATAAAACGGCAATTGTATCAAAATTTTTTATGACTTTTTATTATCGACATCGGCAGAAACCGAGCCGAAAACCATTTTCGGGAAATTACTCAAAATCGTCAGGTTAATTGCGAAAAAATAGTCACAAACCATTGCGAACTTTTCCCAAAAATCAGTTTTTTTACCGTTAACTTTCCTATTCTACTATATTCGGCCTAGAAAATTTGGCTGCGCATATTTTTTACGGGTACCCATCGCTGGGAATAATTCAAACCTGATCAGATATCGGGCGGCCAAAAGGCGGAGGGGAGGTTTTTATGGGATACCCTACATACGGCGCAGCATGTTGCGCAAATCTTGGCCACCAGCTGTTCGCCAGGGTATCAGAATACAATACACCTGACCACTACGGCACTGTCTCCGGTTATGCTCAATGGGTGTCAAAGGCACCTTAACATTAACATATTTGCTAGTTAACAGGCGACCAGACCAAGTCTATTCTTGCCTCTGGCTGTAAAATATAGTGTATCGAATATTTTTAGCAGACCTCAAGAGAAACCTTTGATTTTGTAGGTGGTTTTGGTTGCTTTTTGCTTTGTTTTGCTCTGGATTGCTTTGGTTTTTATAAAATTTTTTTTTGCGTCTACGACTATTCCATGCAAAAAAAATTTCCCTATCGCGATTTTTTTGGGATTCAACCGTGGTGTCTTCTTCGAAGACAAACCTAGGCTTAGGCGTAGCTTCGGCTTAGGCTTAGACTTAGGCTTAGTTTTGGCTGAGACCGGGCTACCAGGACCAACATTTCGATGTACTTTACAGCCTGGTAACTCAAAGGGGAGCTGAAACAAGAGAGTCGACGCGAGCTGGAGGCCCGTTTTATCGCCAGATTTTCAAACGTTTTGGGGTAGGCCAGCTAATAATGCTATAGTAGCGGATTATCTATTTCATTATTGGACCGAGGGCTGACTGGGTGATAAAGGAGGCTTCGTTGCGCCGATAACGAAACCGACAAGGAGCCAGGGCATTTGAATATCGGTGGGTCGGCGTCTCGGTGGTAACCACATGTCGCTTATTGCTACAAGTAAACGACCGCCCAGAGGGAACACGTGTCTATCGTCCGAGGGCATTTATGGGGGTCATCTGTTAGAAAAATGTTCATATCCTCCAAGAGCCCGTTTTTAGTGACTTTCGAGAAAACGACACTTTTCGTTCGCTTCTCTTGCTCTCTCCTCTCTCTCTCTCTCTGTCTCTCTCTCTCTTTCTCTATCGCTCTCTCGCCCTGTCTCGCTCTCACTCACTCTCGCTCGCTCGCTCTCTCTCACTCACTCTCGCTCGCTCTCTCTAACCTTCTCTCGCCCTTTCTAACGCCCTATCTCTCACTCTCTCTCGCTCTCTCTCGCCCGCTCTCTCTCTCTTACTTTCTCTCCTACTGTAAGCCGATCCCCAAGCAATTATGCGCCCATCTTCGAAATTCATCCCCAAAAGACAGGTTTTTGTGAGTGGGAAATTTGGTTTATGCGATTTTTGAGCTAGGGCGGTGCAAATAGCCCAGCGGGACACTAGCGCCTAGAGTCGCATGGCGGTCATGGATGATAAACCCCCCAGGCCAGCTTGTACTTGATTACACTTTTTTGGCGGCCTCTTCCTCCGGCGATCGAGTGTTGCCTCTGCATTCCCGTGCTCAACAAGTTCAGACACGTCAAAAAGACCCGGAAATGCGAGAGTAGCTGGTTGTAAACAGGGTTTTCTTGCAGCATACAGGCTTTAATTTGACTTTTTAACTTTTTCTTCACTTTCAGGAAGCTTCTAAATCGGAAATCGAGATAAAAACTGGTAAACGAACATCAATACACTGTAAAGTTTCGAAATTACGCTTAGAAAAGTAGCAAACGTTACCCAAAAACGCCTCGGACCCTTTGGTTTTGAGATTCCTGGTACTTTTAAGTTGCTTTAAATGATTTGAGAGTCCGCTTTTTCTTCCTGATTCTTGCTTTCCAATAAAACAATTTTCATTCTTATTTTTTAAAAATCTTAATTTCAGAACAAAACAGAAAACCTTTTCGAAAAGTCATGATATCCCAACGACTTTCTGAGGACGTTGAAAACGAACAGCCAAATCCCCGGAAAAGGAAGTCAAGGTGAGCCGTTGGGGGTGTAAATGCTATTCGGTGGTGGAGGACGCGAATGTGTTGTAATTCTTAATCATTATTTTCCTTTTAGCGAGATGGCCGATGGAGATAGGGCACCGTCCCAGCAATGCCACAGCCGACCGGACAGGTAGCCAATTTTTGCAAACATTATTTTGCATTTTGGTGTTTTCGGATCCAATTTTTTTGTAACTAGAGGAAGTTGTGTAAGTAAAGCTGGATTTACTATTACTAAGCGTAAATACTTTAAAAATTTGGTTTAAAAAATACAAAAATATCTATTTTTCGACTCCGATGGCCGATTTTCTAAGTTTTTTATTGTTTTCCCACTTAAAAATCATTAAAATTTACTAAAAGCATTGTTCTTGCTATTCCGTTACTAGGAATTTGTGGATTTATAGGAAAAAAGGTTGCTCCCCCGATAATGGAAAAGAACCTGCCCAAAATCTACATACATTTAGCAACTTTGATCCGAACGGTCCGTCACCGCCTTGGAGCCCTGAACCTTCGTATCAATTCCAAATCATCAATGCCGAAAATGAGGAAATCTTCGAGGACCCGGGACAGCACCTCGCCTTTGCTGGAAGTACGGAAACGGTCTTTTTGCGGAAATAAAGAGTCGTTATCGCCGGAAGCGAGCAAGTCACGGATGCGAGAAATGAAGAGAATATTCAAGCTAATGAAGCGATCACCAATGCCGGAAATCAAGAAATCGTCGAGAGCCAGGGACAGCACCTTGCCTGTGCTGAAAGTGAGGAAACGATCCGTTATGGAAGGGAGCAAGACGTTGATGCACAAAATGAGCAAGACCAGAATGCTGAAAATGCAAAAGCTCTTGAAGCCGAAAACGCCCAAATTGGCGCTGCTGAAAATCAGCCGTCGCAGCCGATTTCGGAAGGATGTGGTGAGTGCTCGCCGTCGATTTTCCAATCGTATCAAGGTTTTAGTTGCCTCCAGCTCCGGATTTGTGCCCCAAGGCCTTTGGGACAAGGGACGATCCAGACATAAACTTGAGGGTAGGTCATCGCAAAATAGAAGTAAACGGTTCTGGGTCCTTAGCGGTGGGGAACGCTATTCTAAACAACAAGTATTCGAGTTATTGAAAAACTCTAGGTATATTTTCAGCATTTTCTGGGATCGAAAGACTTCTGAACCATATGGAAAAGGATGAAACGGACAAAGCCAAACGCGAAGATGCTGAAGCGGAAGACGATGAGCCCGAAACTGAAGAGGACGATACCGAATCCGGTGACGAGGCGTCGGATTTTTGGAAAAGTGGGAAAATAGCATGTCGTGCCTATATCGTTATTTTAGCTCCGGGCGATGAGGACCACAACGACCTGTTGCTCAGTCCATATGAAGTTGCTTTTTTATCTATTTCATGCAAGATTTTAGAACCAGATAATCGATAGTGACGGCCAAGCCCAGGTGGACCGATTGCCTGATGCACAGCTTCGCCGGCACACGCGAGACGACGACCACAGATTGGTAAAGGCGCCTCAATTGCTAAAATAAATGTATTGGAAAGTAGCTTAATTATGACTGAGATTTAGTTGGATTAGATTAATCTAGTAAAAAACTGTTTAGAAGAAGTCTGAAAAATATTTAAATTTGTATAATTCGTTTTTCATATTTTCGTCTAATTTATAGTCCAATACGCCAAATCGTCTTACAAAATTTTTAATTACATAATAATACAAAACTAACATAATACAAAATTCAACAATAATTTTACAAAATTTTTTAAGTCTTACCAATATTCGCACCGGGCGTCCTAACACGTGTTTCTAGTGTGATACTTGATAAAATTTGACAAGTTTTTATGTTAAGGAATAGTAAAAAGGCGCGTAGAAACATGCCTTTATTTGGATCAGAAAAATGATTAGACGATAATAGGAGGCATTTAGGCCACAGAAGAAAATCTGCACCGACTACTAGAGAAGTGTGTCTATGAAGATTTATCGGATCCTCAGAAAGCAGCCACCGTGTAGGTTGTTTCCAAAACGGCAGCATTATTGCCGCTTTCTGGGCGTATGAAATCTCATGACTTTTTCTAGGCGCTGCATCCGAGGTGGAGGTAAGTTTTTACTGTTTGACGAGGGTGGACTCGGCAAATCTATGGTAGCGCTAGCGACGATGAGGTGAGTGAATGCTTTTAGGGCTGCATATCGTTGGGCGATTTCATATATCCTTGTATTTTCAGCTTCTTCAGCGAAGACAGTCGATTACTGATTGTGACCACACCACAGTCTATAGAAAAGTGGGAAAATGTGGGTTTAGCTTCTTGAAAGGGAATAAAATTTTGGATTTAGTTGGTCAGCAACTACCTTCGGGATGCCAAACGCGTCACGGTGCTGGACAAAGACCAACGGCTTCGACGTGATCGAAAAATTGACCTCGGTAATAAGGGCACAATCTAACAGGGAGAATTTTGTTAGCGTTGCTAACAAAAAAAAACAACTCTTGTTACACTACAAAAAAGCAATCGAAAATTTTACTTCAAAATTTTGGCGAAAAAAGCGCCCGTTTTTTGGTAAAAAAAAACAGTTTTTGCATTTTTCAATAAACTGTAAAGTTTTCAATCCTCAGAAAAAGCATTGCCCCCCGATAATGCAAAAAAAAACCAACGTTTTATAGTGTATATTTGCTCCTACAACATTCTAAACGCCCGAATCGGCGATTTCGAACGCTTCGAGCCCCAAGCCATCATTTTTGTAAGTTTTTGGTGTGTTTTGGTGAATGTTGTTCAGGATGAAAGCCACCATGTGAAGAACTGGAGGAGCAGCCGGACCAAAAATTCGCGAAATTTGGCGGTAAGTTCTATAGCTTAATTCCGAATAGGTTTTTCTTTTTTACAGACACAAGCCAAACGGGCGATCTGCATCGCATCGTTCCCCCTACACCGCTCCCCGAATGACCTAATCAGCCAGGTGAAAACTATATTTCAGAAACTGTAGAACAAAAACAGAAATTTCAGCAAACAACGTTTATTTAGATTCGCATGATTCTGCCCGATCTTTGGATCGAGTTCGAGGTGGATGAATACGGAAGAAGATGGATGTGCCCAGAGCAAACGAAGCGCTTTCTCGACGCGATCAGCTCGAGACAAACAAAAGAAGAGTGGCTACCCGTAAGTTATATAAATTTGGCTAATTCGGATGACATCATCGTCAACCAATTATTAGAGCATTCCACCAAAACATCGTACCCTGCACCACATCAAAATACCGCAAAGCCGCCAACTGCAAAGAGCTGGTCGCAGAGCTGAAGCCATCTGGAGAGCCTATCTGGTCGGCGATTTATCGTGCATTCAATTTTTGGACTTTTAGGAAAGCGAAGATGATAAGAGGATGCTTACCGACTCTAGGACGGCGTTGGGTAAGTATTACCGCCTGTGCGTCAAGGCGAAGGCGCAACACGTGGCGCCGTACGTTCGAGAGCTTTTCTTTTCACCCAACCAGAACCAACCAAAGGTAGCTTTGTATCCTTGAAATAATAGTTTGCACTTTTTAGACTCTGATCTTCGGTTATCATAAAATTATCCGAGAGGCTATCAAAAAGCAGGTATCTTTTGTTATTAAACTGCATACCAGGGTTGAAAAGCCGCTTCGCGACTTTTCAACCCTGCCCCATGTGATCCGATGATATTCTTCCCTTTGCATAATTCACGCGATTTTGATGACAAAAAATGACAAAGCCGACATCTATTCTCATATATAGGCTACCGCCACTTCCGGCGTATGCTAAATGTTTCCTAACAAAGAGGGTTCTCGATTTTTCAACACAAAACTTAATTTTAATATCAAAAACACCGAATTTTTCAAAACTTTATAAGTGTGCAGGCATCTCACGGCCATTACGCACCTAATGCGGCATAAAACACCCCTAACTGCCCCCCTTATTGAGATACTACTGGAACACGCTAACGGAAGTTGCATGCAAATGCACACACATACATACACACAAAGGAACTATTTTTTATATATATAGTAGGATAATATTTAGTTGGAAAAAGTGGGCATTCGGTTTGTGGAGCTCGATATTCCAGCCGGAACTGAACCCTTCGAAGAACGGATTCAGCAATTCAAAGATGATTCCGAGATAAACGTGGCGGTCTGTCTTTTGGCTTGCAAATTTTTTTACCTAAACCCTTACTTTTCTTTTAAGTTGACTGGATTTTTTTCAGGTTCTCTCCCTCCGTGCCTCCAGTCTCGGTCTCGATCTGCCGGAAGCGAAACGCATCATCTTCCCCGAGCTCTACTACACCGTCGCTCTTCATCTCCAGGTGTGTCTTCTCACTATTTTTCTCTTTCGCATTCTCTGCCTTCTCACGAACATGATTTTTAGGCCGAAGATCGGGCCCATCGTTTTGGCCAAGGCGACCAAGTAAAGATTCACTACCTTGCCGACACCACCATGATCGACGAAATGATTTTGTCGATTTGGGAGAGTAGGGCGAAATGCATGGAGGAGGTATGGCTATTTTTTTTACTCAACTTGAATCGGAAACTGATGTTGCAAGAACTCTTACACCCAATTTTTCTAATATATTCCAAATTAAATTCCAATTAAAAACTAATGAAGTGTTTATAACGGTTTTTTTACTGTTCCTAAGCGTAAAAGCTTTACAAATTTACTTGAAAGCCAAAAAAATCAATAGTTTTCGACCAGTTTCGACTAAAAATCATTTCTAGGTTTTTTAATTGTTCTTCCATTTGAAATATCCTTAAATTTCATTAAATAAACTACTAAAATACTCACTATTAAATTACCGGCAGGTCTGAATGTCTAGATTCGTTGCCCCAACCCCCGATCATACAAAAGAACCATCGATTTTTAGCGTGAACTGACGGGTGTTATGAAGCCTTTCGATGATGAAATTATCGAGCAGCCCTTGCGCTCGCGCGATTTCCCCGATGGATATGACGCTGTACATTAATTGCCAGTTTTTGAGTCTGACATTTAGGACGGCGACTCGGATCCCGATGCTAGCGGGGGTGAGGATAACGGTGACGAAGACGATGATGACGATGATATTGATGGAAATATGGAGATTAGCCCCGACGAAGCGGATGATTTGGCTTCTGACGAATCAGATGCCGGAAGTGGACAGCCGGGTGGTAACGATTTTCGGTTTAGGCCATTTGTTAGATTGATAGTTTTGGTTGGTTGCAGCATAACTTCCGGCTCATTACAAAAAGCTGGCTGATTCCAGGAGCCGAAGCGACGGACGATGATGAGTCCGAACCTGCGCCCCGGGAATCACCCGCACTAACGGAGAGTATCGGCTCCCAAGATACCGAGAACGACGAGGAGGAGGAAAGCGGTAAGACAATCGTCAATAGCTGCTCTACGAAATCCTCTTTTAGATCGTTATGAGTCAGATGATTCAGATGCCTCTGGACACTACCCATATGTGGACAAAGATTATGTCCCACCATCTGAAAAGGGTATTAAGTAATAACAATCATCATCCAAGCTGCTTAGGGAACCAGGAAAAAGCACCAGGCAACGAGCGGGCACCAAGGCAGAGCTCCCGCCTGCAGAAAAGCTCAAAGAAAGCTAGCCGAAAGACGCGCAAGGCTAAATTCGACGATGATTCCGAGGATGATAGCGGTAAGTCTAATCAATGAATCTCTAGTTTACGAGTTTTAGAAAACCGAGACCCGGCTATGCAACAGAAGGACAGTGAGATTGAAAGTGAGGACGGTCAGTTAATTTCTAGGCTTATAAGAGATGACCTAGCACACCAAAGAACCGCAAAAAAACAAATATTTTCAGACTCAAATCAGCCCTCGACCAGTCGCAAGCACCGCAGGGTGGTTCACTCATCGGATGAATCTGAATAAGCCGCTCCCACAATCCATATTTTCTCCAATTTCCGATACTTGTACTTATGTTTTGGTTTTTCAGCATTTTTCTTGCTGTTCGAATAAATTTCCG